GGAACAGTATCCCAAAAAAGTTTAAAGCCCATTTGTTTTCCCACCAAAACCACAGCAAACTCACCTATAAATAAGTTGTTCCATCATACTTTCAAGGGGATGGCTTTTGGAGAGAGAGAGAATTGTCAAAATAGAGAAAAGAAAACTGTGAAACCTTCATAAAAATCCATAATCCCCAAAAAGAAAACTAAATCTTTGTTCTTCCCTTTGAGTCAAAGAACTTGGTATTTTCTCCTATGTTGCTCTTGTTGACTCCAGAACATTTGAAGGTAGAAACTCAAGTTCCAAGCACGCTTCAGATTCAAGGTAAGTCTTTCTGACTTTGCATCTTTTCATTCAGAACATCATTAAAATATGCAAATATCATAGTATTGATGTTGTCTAGATCATTGCATGAGTAGAAAAACTGTGGATCAGAACTTCTTGAGTAAGGCTAGGCTCAGAATTAGGATTAGAACTTCTATAAACTGTTGTGTTTTTATCTTTCTGATTTGCTGTTTGTTAAGGACTGAATAAATTGTTGATGTGCTGATTAATATGAGGAAATAGTTGAGACATAGCACAGAACTTCTGAGTTCTTCTCACTGTTTTAACACACAGAACTTCTACGATTTTCTCATTGTTTAAACACGCTGAACTTCTGATATTCACTCACTGTCTTAGCACATACTGAACTTCTGAGTTCTCTTCACTGTCTTAATACACGGAACTTCTAAGACTTTCTCACTATTCTAACACTCAAGTTCAACACACAGCAACCCAGAACTTCTGTATCTTTCCTTTAATGTTTCTTGCAGGGCCTCATAGTGTATCAATCCAGAACTTCTGATGCTTCTTTCTAGACCACAGCGCGCTCGACATCAAAACTTCTGATCCCCTTCGTGTTGCTTTCAGCAACATGTTAATTCTATCTCTTATTATTTACCTTTTTTTATCATTTTTAATATTAATACTCTTTTTATTAATATAAAAAAGACATAAAAATATTTTCTTTTATTAATTAATTTTTTTTCTTAATTCATTAAGACAAAAAAAACCATTTTTAAAACAAGTCCTTTTTTTTCTTTCTTGCATTGTACATTTCAATATGGTTGTAATAGTTAGGATTTAAATTCTTTCAAACCCCCCACCCCCCCCCCCCCCCCCCATTCATAAATTTGTATCCCCCGTCCCCTTAATGATGTAATAGTGCAGGACTTTACCTTTCCCGCACTTTTATTGCTTTCATATATTATTAGTAATTAGGGTGTGTATGGAAAGATAAAAACAACAAATAGACAAGTTAAAAATCAAAGACTAAAATGCATATAATCAAACACACTATTCACACATACACCCTTAGGGTAATCTCACTTGTTGCCTATCGGAAATTAGTCATGTCCCTCGAATGTGGGCGCTTTAGCAAAGACCCTCGATAAAAGATCGTAGTCCCTCAATGACCCTCAATGTTTCCTTCGGTAAACGATCTAGTCCCTAAACGACATTACTAAAACGTCCCATAAAGTTGCCTTCTATGACTATACAAAAACGTCCCATGTCAGTCCCTTCACATCCAACGATGGGACTTCTTACCAAAACAATAGTGAGATAGCAACATCTAAAGGAAGAAGAAAAGAACATTTAAGACCTTTTAAGTAGGTAGATTCGCTCCTAGTTGCTCGCTTGATCACAACAAAAACAAACACCTATACTTTCAAAATACCTTTCAAACTTGAAAACATTTTCAAAAGATCAACACCTTTGTATACATTCTTATGAACAAGAATCATTAAAAAGTTTGCCTAAACAATGGCCTCTTTTCAAAAATACTTTCAAAAATCACACAAAGTATACTTTCAAACAAAAAAGCAAGTGATCTAGTAAGCAACTAAGAGCCCATGGAAAACCATTGATGAAAATGATGTTAATCCCTTCCCTTTTCATATTCTACCCCCCGAACTCAAGAAAACATCTCTAAAGGTCTTTCCTGTTCTTTTCAGCCTTTCCTTTTAGATAAAATAAAAGTCGATGGCGACTCTTGCTAACTGCAACATTTGCGATCAAAACGCAAAACACTCAAGTCAGTTCTCCCACCGTACCACACTTTCCAACTTAATTATGCAACAACCGAAAAGGAACTCCTCGCTGTTGTTTTTGCCATTGATAAATTTCGATCTTATCTAGTCGGAGCCAAAATTATAGTTTATACAGATCATGCAGTTATTCGATACTTGTTAAGCAAGAAGAATGCTAAACCTAGGTTACTTCGATTGGTCCTTTTGCTGCAAGAGTTTGATCTAGATATTCGAGACAAGAAGGACACAAAAAATATAATTGGTGAGCACCTTTCTAGGCTTGAATATTTAAAACCAGACCTAGTGCCTATAAATGATGATTTTACCTATGATAGACTTATAGCTATGATTGGAACCATTCAAAATGATGACCCCAACCCTTCTGTAGATTGGAACATTGAAAATACCCTAGCAGTGACCATCATACCTTGGTACGCTGATTTTGTAAGCTACCTGGATGTTGATATCATACCCCACGACCTTAACTATCAGCAGAAGAAGAAGTTCTTTCATGATGTAAGACATTTTTATTGGGACGAACCACTCATTTTCAAAAGAGGTACGAACGACATTTTTCGTTGTTGTGTCCCTGGAGAGGAGGTGGAAAACATCATAAAACATTGTCACTCTGCACCTTATGGTGGACATGCAGGCACATCTAAAACATGCGCTAAAATTCTCCAAGCTGGCCTTTTCTGGCCAACATTATAGCGTGATGTTTATGCTCACATTGTCAGCTGTGATCGGTGCCAACATACCGGGAACGCCTCAAGACGTGACAAAATTCCCTTAAGAAATATCCAAGAAGTAGAACTCTTCAATGTTTGGGGAATTGATTTCATGGGACCATTTTCATCTTCAATGGGAAACAAATATATCTTACTAGTTGTTGACTATGTGTCTAAATGGATTGAAGCCATAACCTCACCTACCAATGACACACGAGTAGTAATTAAGTTATTCAAGAATAACATATTCCCCAGATTTGAAGTCCCACGCCTCGTTATAAGTGACGGTGGACTGCACTTCATATCCAAGATCTTTAACAACCTTTTAAGTAAATATGGACTTAAGCACATAGTAGCAACACCATACCACCCGCAAACTAGTGTACAAGTGGAAGTATCAAATAGGGAGATAAAAAAAATCTTAGAAAAATAGTTCTAATATCCAAAAAAGATTGGTCTCAAAGACTCAAAGAAGCATTATGGGCTTATAGATCCGCTTATAAAACCCCTATAGGAACCACCCCTTACCAATTGGTTTACGCAAAATCTTGTCACTTTCCTTTTGACCTAGAACACAAAGTTTATTAGGACATCAAAACCATGAATTTAGATTACTTAGCAGGTGGTGACAAGTGTATACCCCAAATTTTTCCCCTAAGATCCCTCATCACATTATATACATCTCATACATATCATCGATTCTATGGTTACAGGATCAAAGGGATTTTTGGCATCAGGGTTTTTCTCTATGGATTGAGGTTGCTATCTTATTCAAAGTTGATTCAACATGTGCTCTCATCATTTTTGGAATGTGAATCTAGGGTTTTGGATCACAAACATCATAGACGTCTTCGCTAGAAGGGCTCCTCAAGATATAAGGTTGTCTTCATCAGGAATATTCTGAAGTAGGGGTTTTGTTCCTCTCGCTATCTCAAGCCTTCTTTGTTAATGTGCAAGCAAGGCGAGAACGTTTAGGGTCTCTCCTATGTTATGCTTGAGCTTGATGTTAGATCTTCAACAGAAGTTCATCACGCTAGGTTTCTCCTCATTGATTTATCCAAAAGACTTTCATTTCAAGAAGTTAGAGAAATTAATCAAGGACTTCTTTCTTGTGGTGAGACTTGCCAAGTGATTAAGTGTGGCTTTGGATTTTCAGCATAATATTTTGTTGACTAAAGAGTGAGTAATACAACATGGTAGGATTTTGGTGATTCTTTGTAATCAAGGCCTTGTTATCTCTTCAACTTCTTGATTGTTTGCAAGTTGACTTGAATTTGAAGAGTGAAGTAGAAAATGGATTCATTATGGTGAAATGTTTCTCTCAAGATTGATTCAATAGAATTCATGCATATGGTTTGGTTGGAATACAATTTACAAGTAACAAATTCAAAGTATAATCTGAATTCAAAATCTAGTCAAGTAGACTATCGAGAATTCAAATTACAAGGGCCTTTATAATTGTATCCATTATTTGTTGCTTGTCATACAAGTTGGTTTGGATCTGAATTGAGAATTAAAATGGGATTCAAGTAATGTTTTGAGATTCAGTCAAACATCATTTAAGAATCAAGATTCATTCATCCATTATCATCAAGACAAGACTTTTAACCAAGGTCCATTCAAAATGTTATGGATTTCATATTGCAAAGATTAGCCATTTGTTCACGAGTGTTTATGATGTCAAGGGGTTAAAGTCTTGAGCACATCGCAAAAAAAAGGGAAGAAATATTCAAGGATGACATGGAAAGTATAGAATATCTTGGAACCACTTGATTATGTTTAAAATCTATTCAAAAATTCAAGCTTTAAGTCAATGCAAGAATCCATTCAAGATTCTTAAAAAATGCAAGTCATAATACATTTCACTACACTTGTTTCAACTATTTTTATTACAAGAGATATCAAGCTTTACACAAAACAAGAGAGTCTTACAAATTTGATTCTAATCCTATAAGTTGCATTTCACAAAGTACACAAACCTAAACCTATCCTAACCTTCAACCATTCAACATTCATGGACAAGTTTCCATCTTCACTTCCCATAATCTCAGATTTCTTGATCATGCTAACTCTAATCCAAACTTGTCCAAACTGAAAACTAGTTCATAAAATTGGTCTGCGTTACTTTTCAATAAGCGGCATGCTTGCAGTTTTAAAACCAGTTTGAGGTTTGGTCAAAATAGAAATTAGAAAAGGAGTGCAAAATGTGTGCAAGTTCTCAAGGACAATTGATTAAAATGGAAAGAATTCGAAGCTGAAATGGAAGGGCTGCACTTAAATAGAAAAAGGGATTCAATCGTACGTTTGTACCTGCAATAAATCAGTTTACAAAAAAGTCAGAAAAACCTTACATTATAATGAACCAGTTCACAGAAAAAAGATGCTGATAGAAAAATCGGTTTAGAATGGAAATCAGGGAGGGAGAGTGAAATTAAAAAAAAAAAATAAAAATCAGAATAACTATGACAAGTTCAACTGATTTTTCAGCTGAATCCATAACTTTCATAACAGAAATTTATGGAAGCTACTTATCAAAACCTCTAACTATCATAACAACCTACATAACCAACTCTCATCTCACCATTGATCGACCAACTAAATCCTTCTAAATCTATGGCCTAGATTCACTCTGCTCTCAACTGATTCCTTCACTTAACAAACTCTAACAGAATCATAACAGAAGGGAGAAATAGAATTGGGAGGAAAAGGATGTAACAAAATTCTAACAGAAAAGGTAGGGGATTTTCACGACTTTTACACAAAAAGATAACAGAATTGAAAAAAAGGGAGGATTCATAACAGAAAACGAAAAAGTTGACAAAACTCTCACCTCTGAATCTTTCTGAGATTTTCGGAAGAACACTCATCTTTATCTTCAACCTTCCTCATTCTGGAACCCGACTTTAGAAAATTTGATGGCGCTTTCTCTCTCACTCTCACTCTCCTTTATTCAACCCTCATCAACCTCACCTTCTTCTCCCTGCACCTTGAGACCTTCATCTTTCTCATCCCTCACACACAAAAAGAACTGCGTTATCATTTTAAATCACATAAAACCTTCATATTTCTCAAGCCATATATTCACAGGCTCTCAATCCATGTCCTGCGGATCTCTCAGTAGACGTAAAACAACAATACACAAACTCTCATCGTTCTCGATCTCACGTAACACAAAATAAACGTGTGTGCAAAGAAAAATAATTCAGAAAAATCAAAAAAATAAGGTTAAAGAAGAAGAGGAATATCAATAAGCAAGTAACTGTGAAACGAAATAGAAGTACACACTTGAATAGAGGAGCTCTCCTCTAGTTTTCTTATCAGTTTCATCAAATTCAAAAAGGCGCCAGATGCTTCTCTGGTATGTAAGCCTCTTTGATACTTCTTCGATTTCTGTTTGCATTTTTGTTGTTGGATCCGCGAAGAAGGTAGAAACCATATAAGCTAGGTCGAAACCAAAATGGACATTGCAAATTGAAACCCGATGCGGGGAAGCAGTGAAATCCCGAATGAAAAAGATTGATCCAAGATGAGAATACGGAGAGGAAAGGGATGATGACGGCCGCATAACATTGGACCTGGTCAGAGATGAATCGAACGAAGATGTCATGGCGACGTTGAGGGTTGAATTGAGTGGTGGTTATAACGAACGAAGAAGGTTGAGGATCCACGACGACAGAAGAGGTGGAGGCTTCGGCGCTGATCGGTGAAAGAGAAGAACAAGAAAACTTGCAAGGACTTGGACCATCACCTCCCTTTTAACCCTAATCTCTTTCCCTTTTTACAATTAATTTGTCTAACTATTTTTAATTCAATAATAAAAATACGGACTGGATGTGAGGTTGTTGGGCTGTCCTTAAGCCCGGTTTTGTTTTTTATGCTGGATGAATGAAAAAAAACTCGCTGGACCTGGACTGGGTCACTCACCATTAGGCCCATTTCAACATTTTATTTGAAAGCTGAAACTTCATTTGACAAAAAATCTGGCTTAATGGCCTTGCTGAATGGGCCTAGCGCCTTGTTGCTACCACACCCCTAGACTGTTCTTCACACCCCCTTAATTCTTCTAATTTCTTGTTTTGTTTAATTTTCTTTTTGTTTGAATTTTTGTAATAAAAAATATATAATAAAACAATAAAAAATGTAGATTTTAGGAATGCCTTTTATTTTTTTAGGGTAACAAAGTACAAAATCAATAAATTTTTGTTAGACTTTTATTTGATTTTAGAAATTAATTCCTAATTTTTCGATTACTCGAGACTTGTAATTCATCTTTGCTTATTAAGTTGAGTCTTATGCAGGTTCATTGTTTGATGTGCATACATGCTTGAGTTTCGATTGTAATTTATTTTCACATCGATTATGCTTCAACACCTGTTCCAAATATTCGATCTCTGACTGTTTGTTTATTGATACCATCTCGTGCAAAGTATTTCGGGTTTCTTTGCTTCGGTTGCGCTTTTTTGTGGACATTATTGTTTATTTGGTATTATAATGCTTCCAATTTACATTTCCGCACTTTACTGTTTTCTAGATATCATGAGAAGTATGAAATAAAGACCGTGCGCTCGAAGTCGTTGTTTAAAGTCCTGTAGCAGGAACCGCTTTCTGTATGTTATTTATGGTTGTTTAAAATCCTACCTTTGAAGTAGGTATTCCGCACGTACGTTTATATTTGTGCCTGTATTATACTACAGATGATAAGTCCTCAAAAGGAGGCAAGCGGGGAGGGTCAGTAATTGACCCCCGCACATTCTAGTCCGTGTCATCCTTAACTCATGTTGTACGTCGATGCTTCGGAGTCGTGTAGATATTGTGTATCGAGTCCGTCAAGAGGGAAAGTGTTTTGCAATCAAACCCCCACGTTATGTCAGGAGTTTGCATTGGCCGATGCTGACACTCCGTGATCGTTCATGTTGTCTTATGTCGCCTACCTCGATCTTCTATATCTTGGTTAGGTGTTCAGTCGCTTTGGACGTCACATTTTTTTATTTCATTCGTCTCCCGCTTGTTTGCTTTGGGTGATACGCTCCCCTTAGCTAAAACATTTCTCCTTTTTCCCCATCCCTTTGAGTCATTATGTTTGTGTGCTTTTGCCAAAACACTTGTTTTCTTATTTGTTTGCTATACCATGTTCCCTTAGAATAAGAATTTGTATGCTTCCCTTAGGGTCGCTCGATTAGAATAGCTTTCGAGCTAGACATTAGGATAGATATCCATGCATACTAACATAGGGTGGAGATTTCCCTTTTATCCTCAACCTTAGGATTAAACATTGTATGATAACATTAGGGATATATTTAGGTTAGTCTCCCTTAGATGTTTTTTCTTTCTTTTGCATCTTTGCATTAAGACAAAAACTCTTTTTCTTGAAAAAATCATAAAACATCTAATAACTTCCAAATCCTTCTTTAAGGTAAAAGATATCAACCAATGCAAACTCTTTTGCGCCTTCGGGATTTTCTTTCAAACTTTTTCAAAAGAACATGTTAATTCACTTCTATGCTGACGCGTAAGTCTTCAAAGGTCGAGTTACGACAAAAGGCGTAATTAATCTTGTTCATTAAAAAATTCAAACCAACAGAAACTTTTGAGCCGAACTACGGCTGCTCTGATTCCTTAAAAGGGATACGTAGGCATTGGGGTAGGGCCTGAACAAGCACAACTTTTATTTTCCCTACATTATTTTCTATTTTCTTTGCATGCATTCCCTCTTAGTTTTATAGCTCTTAAGCATTAGATTGAACACACCCTTTGATTAGAATAACAAGAGTAGATCTCGTAGAGTACTACGGACGTATGAGGTGCTAATACCTTCCCCTCACGTAATCGAATCCCTTACCCAAATATCTCAGTCGCAAGACCTTGATTTCCCCATTCAGGTTTTTGTTTAACGATTTTACTTTCCCTTTTCATGGGATAAATAAATACTCGGTGGAGACTTCATTGATTTTACCGCTACAGAGAAATGGCAACTTCATTGGGGACAGCTGACCAATTGCTAGTCCATCCCTTGAGTCAATCCTAGCTCCTGTTTCTCTTTTCTTTGGGTGTTTATCTTTATGCTTTATAGCTTGTTCATTTGTATATATTTGAGCATATGTATGCATTGCATTTTATCACTTTCCATATACTGGTTATTTTTGTTTTGCTAGATTCTGTGTTTCTTGATGGTGGGTGTTACTATTATGGTAAAAGGCCCAATACCCAGGCCTGAGTACACTATCTAGGAAACTTAGGAATAGAGTAGAACATGATGGCTAACAGACAAAGGTCCTACTAGCGCAGTCATGTCTTCTACGCTCAGATGAGGTTCAAATGGAGTGTTATCGTTATCCACGTCTGTGACTTGATGATAGTACTTTCAGGCGAGCACATGATTTTGAGTTACCTTTGACCTCCCCTGACCTAGTCTTTACCCGTTAGTGGGTAGGGAATAATATTTACAGGTACAAATGGTGAATATATATATGATTTATTGGTGACTTTGGTTCTTGGTATTCTAAATTGGTCCGAACCTTTGATCTTGTTACATGTGACAATGGTTATATTATCAGTTCAGCGGCTATCCAGTATTACAGAAGCTTTGATCCCACATGTTTGCATACATAAAATTTTAATGTAGTTATTACCATACATGCTACGTCGCTTCCAAGCATCATTTCTTTGATTCCAATTGTTAATCCGCAAAAAATAAATACATTGAAAAAAATACATGATAATACCATGGTTTAATACTAGGAATCAAAGAGTATAAACTTTTGGAAATGAAAACATGGCATTTGTATTGTATGTCATACATAATTTTGCATTTAATTATGCATTTCATGAGTTTCCAAGAAGTCTTATGCAAGCTCCTTTGGTCTTCAGAATCAAGCTGTCTCACTGGTACAACACTCGAGCCAACTCTAAGAAGAAGATGGAAAATCTCGAACAGGAGAATCGCGAACTGCGCGAAGAGGTTACTACTTTAAGAACCGGGATGACGAACTTGACTGCAATGGTAGAGTCATTGGTGGCTACTCAGAATCAGACACCACCACCTTCACCTCCTCATGCTACACAAACACAACAAACAACAGTTATCTCTGAGGTTATGACAGTTCCCATCTCAGTTGCTTCAAATACTACCGTTGCTCAACATCACGTGCCTCCTGGTTATCCATGCGGAATTCCTGAAGGTTATATGCTAGAAGGATATAACCTTATTGCTCAAGTTGCCCAGTCTGTTCAACAAGTTATGGTTCCTGCCCCTCCTGTGGTACACGTTACTCCTACTGTTAACAATGAGATTCGCCATGTTATACCTCTAGTAATGAACATTGTCCATGTTATTAATGACATGGTTCATCATACTACTCCTCCACCAAGTGAAGGATTGGGATTCTATGACAGAATGGATGATTTCCAAGACCAGTTCAACGAGATGCAAAAAGAGATGAAGGCCCCCAGGGGAAAATAGTTGTTTGGACAGAAAGTAAGTGATCTATTCTTGGTTCCAAATGTAAAAGTACCGGCAAAATTTAAAGTACCTGAATTCGAGAAATACAAGGGAAATACTTGTCCTCGTTATCACCTTGTGATGTACGTGAGAAGAATGTTCACTCACATTGATGATCAACGTCTTCTAATCCATTTTTTCCAAGACAGTCTGATTGGTACTGCATTGAAGTGGTACATGAGCTTGGATAGTGCTGATATTCATACTTTCAACAACTTAGGAGAAGCGTTTGTTAAGCAATACAAGTATAATGTGTATATGGCACCTGACCGTGATCAACTCAAAGCTATGTTCCAAAAAGACATGGAGTAGTTTAAGGAATATGCGCAAAGATGGCGTGAAGTAGTCGCCCAGGTGATCCCTCAAATGGAGGATAAAGAGATGACGAAGATCTTTCTAAAGACTCTAGGTTCCTTCTACGATGAAAGAATGGTGGCGAGTGCACCAAGTGATTTCACTGAAATGGTGGGTATGGGTGTACGCTTAGAAGAAGCTATGAGAGAAGGTCGTTTGACAAGAGATGAAGGTTCCAATGGTACAAAGAAACCATCGCACAGGTATGGTAGAAATAAAGAAGGATATACAAATGCTGTTGTTCAAGAGAGAAGGGTTAAACCTCCTAGAAGGCGTCATGTGCATCAACAACAGGTTGCTTTGGTAACTCCGATTGTTAACGTAGCTCTAACCACTGTTGCATATCAAAGAACACCCCAACAAAGCAATCAAGGGTAGGGTTAGAAGAGAGAAGCTTTTGATCCTATCCCGATGAGCTATCATATTTATTTCCATCATTGATTCAGAAGAACCTAGTGCAAACCAGGAATCCCCGTGCTATACCGTCACCTTTTTCATGGTACTACAAGTAGACTAGACTCGTGCCTTTCATAAGGGAGCCCCTGGGAACAACATCTAGAACTTCTACCCTTTGAAGTATGAGGTCCAGAAAATGGTTATATCTGGCCTCTTGTCCTTTAAAGATGTTAGTCTCAACGTGAAAGATAATTCGTTGCCTAAACATGAAGGTGGAGGAACAGTGAATATGATTTCTGATAATCCAGGAGAATTCGGGATATATGATGTGAGTTTGATAAAAGGTATTTTGGTGAAGA